AGAACTGAGAGCTGTTCTTTCCTCTCCAATTTTTTTCACATTTCAGTGCTAGAGATGGGGAAAAGGAAGAAGACGTGCATTTAATGTAATACATAAAGAAAAAATGAAGTCTATGATGTAAAAAATGTCATATGACTTCATTAAAATTCCTTTAGTACACAGCAAAGAGATTTATAGGACTGGTAGACGGAAGAGTATAGAAGATAGATTAGCCTTAGCTTTGCTGATGTTCATTTATGCTATACATGACATGACTAGAGGCTTTCTCTAAAATGCATCTTCTTTTTGGTCTTCCTCTTCTGTCCTATATACTTTGGGTCGTCTCTAAATGGAGAAAACACATCCTGATCTTCTTATATCAATATCTCTATCTTGATATAAATTATACATTCATCATGTGAATTCTTTCATTGTACACTAATTTTATATTACCATTTCTTCCATTAAATGTTAGTCTAAAGCAGAGATGGTCTGGAAGTGTAAAATTACACCCTTTTTCATCCAAGATTTTAAGTCAAGCAACTGTGAGATTTTTCAAGGAATGTCTCATTTTCTGCAATCATTCACAACAATGAGTGGTCATGAATGGATCATCTGATGAAACATGTCTTAGAGAATTAGCTGTTGAGCTGCAGAGGCCCTTAGAGCTCTCTTAGCTCTAGGTCCTGCTTCCGAGTCTTTCTGACTTCCTCAGAGACCACCTCAGTAATACTTAATCATAGGTACTTGGAAATATTTTCTTTCACTCAGTCTTACACTGCAAAGCAGAGTGGCCACAAATAAAATGCCACTTTGCAATGGTCCCTAGCTCACATCAGTTCTTTATCTATGTTTAGAAATCGCATGGGAGAGTACTTGTTAAGTGCAGCTAAAAGTCATGCGAGGGACCACTCCAACAATTTAATACAAGAGATAACTGAGTACTAATGGCTGGGAAGAACACTATCTATATAGTATAGATGTAGCCTGAGACATAGGTCCTGGATTTGCAGCAGAAAGCCTCGAGGTCCCAGTTTTTGTGGGTTGAGCTAGTGCCTGTTGAAGCTTCAAGTATATGGCATTTATTTCTGTGAACCAGAATGGCTGATTTGCTTTGGTTTTGTTGTTTGTATTGTTTTTTTTCAATAAAACTTTTTAAAGAATCTGAATGGCAGGTTACTGAGAAGTACTGAAATACTTCTAGGGTATGAATTCTCTTTAGGTATCATTGTTTACACTTACAAAGATTGTTTAAAGGCAACTGCTGTCTTCAGGACCAGATTCTCGGTTGTGTTGGCAGCGAAACTATGAGCAAAACCTCAAGGCTAGCTGATACTGCCTCTTCAAAAACGGGAGCTTCATGCACCAGAGTCTCCTTGGTCATTACTATACAGCCTAGAGGAAGTAGCCAGGCAGTGGTAGGAAATGGTGATAGGAGAAAGGTAGACCATGCTGTGTTGAGCAACTCTTTCAGACAAATTTGTGTAGCCACTGAATACAATCACTGCTCTCTCTAAATAGTTTGCATATTCTTTTTTTTTGCATAATTTTTTTCTCGTTAATTGCTATGCACTTTTCAGTATTAATTAGAAATAAAAATATTATATTTGAATTTAGATACATTCTACTGATGACACAACCTGGAATGAAATCCAGATCTCATACCTTAGCTAAGCTCTGCTGTGCTAACAGGAAAAGACAGAACTAAAGATGCATTTCTTTTAATAAAGAAAGTAATTTCATTTGATTCTGAAAGCACAGAGAAAGCAGGCTGTTGCATTACAATGTGCTGTTTTCTGCACAGTCATTTTCCTATAGTGATTCCTTAATATTTTGAGATTCAGTGTTGAATTTATCTTAATGTTGATGTCTAACTGAACTTTTATAGTATGTGATCGGAGAAAATGATGTGAGAGTCCCTGGACTGCTCCCTTTCCACATAGAAGCAATGTGAATGTCTGTGTCCTTTGTCAAGTTGTCTGGTTCATATTAATGTACAAGTGCAGTAGCTAATCTTACAGAATAAGGAGTGATACCTCTCTGCATTCCTTGGGGTGGAATCATTAGCACGGGTAAATCTCTGTGCTGCAGCCAACAAATTTATATGACACACAGTTTATGACCTAGGAGATGTAAATGTCTGCTGTGAATCTAATGATGTATGAAGCAAGAGAACAAGTTATCTCTCAAGACTTCCAGTTGGGCTAGAAATAATCTATCCTGTGAAATGTTGACAAGTTCACTTCTAATCTTAGTTAGAAAATTGAGGTTAGAGTAGATAGTGCTGAAAAATAATGGGGTGAAAATCTGTTCCAAGTTTTCAAACCATTTCCTACATCCATTCTTACTACAAGGTGCTTAGGGAGTTGCAGAGCTATTCAATCACTTTCATATTAACAGAAAAGCCCCATGTGCACATCTTTTCTATGAAGTATTTCCTGTGTTAAAGAGAAATTCTGGCTATTACTGTCTATATAACAGTTCACTGTTTTCTGCTAGTACATTTAGAGATTTATTTAAGTGCAAGAAACTCTTAACTGATTCTGAACAGCCTACAGCTGTGTTTTCTTACAGCGTTACCTTCAGACAGTATTTGATTAAAACAAAAGGAACACATAACAAAGAGCCCTTAGTCTTCTACACTACTCGTCTTTGTTTAAAGTAGGTGTTGTAGAGCTGCAAATGTAGCTCTATGAGAATAATCATCAAGATAGTACTGATCTGTCCCAGAAGGATGTGAAAAAGTTTTTAAAGTCCTTTAGTGTTTATATACCTAAGAACAGTGACCTGGGCTGTAGCTCTGAAAGAGAAGCAGATGAGACATGAAAAATATGTGAAGATGAAAACCATAGCCTCAGATATTTCCCAAGAACAGATTATAAGTCTACTTTTTTTCCTAAAAATATGACCTAGTTGTAGTAGGAGACGATGAAAAGCAGTACAGTCAATGACCTTAAAGCTCACATATTAAAATAGCACAGAAAGGTCTAATTATTGTAAAGGTCACAGGATAAAAATTCTGTTCCAGTTCTGTTATTTCCGAGAGCCAATGGAAACGCAGCACAACTATCAAAACTCCTCAGTGGCTTTCAGAAATGTTCGATGTTTACTTTGTTGGGTCAACATTAATAGAATTTCTATCTCTTTAAATAAGGGAATCATAGCTGAATTTTTAACGACCATGGAAGAGGAAGATTAATACTTGTTTAATAAAGCACTTGCTTAAAATTAAGGACAGGAAAGTATTTCAAAGAGGTATGAAAACTGTCTCTGATATTCATCCAACTTCACAGAGATAAGTAAAACAAGAAATTTAATGAAAACTGTGATTTAAGAGTAATACAGCTTCTACAAAAGTAATTTCAATCAGATTTAATTCCAAAATGCTTTATATTGAGAAAATTTGACCAAAAACTATGTTTTATATGAAATAGTTCTACGCAAATACTTTTCATTTCAGGACCTTTTATAATTTTAAATTAATGTTGTTTTAGCTCAAAATGTCAATTTTAAATGGAAAATATGTTTAAAATTCTTTTTAATGCTTGAAGCATGAAATTTCCAATGGAAAATCTTTTCTGTGAAAAAATCTGAAGGACACATATTTTCCATGTTTCTGATTGTTCAAGAAAGTCAGATGGATTATTTTTCACACTTTGTGTGAATTAAAACTATCCACCAGTATGTCTCAGGCTTTTACTGCAGCTTTTGAGGTCAAGAACAGCTTAAATAAAAATGCCTGGGCTTTCAGCATCTCTGTGCTGGGCAGTGATGCTTCATTCTACACCTCAGCTTTCTACTTCTCTTTTCCCTCCACTACACTCAATTTTGGGTTAAAAATAGACTTTACCAAGAACATGTGCTTCCTTGAAAGTCTGGATCACCAGGTGATTCCACGGTAAATGGGATACTTTGTTCTGTCACAGCAATTTTATGCTGTAATAACTCTGATGATTTTGTTGAATATTGCTCTTGTATATGAGTGAAACTGAGCAGAGATTTAGCTGTAGCATCACACAGATTGCAGGGAATTTGTTTCCTAGTCAGAAGTTTTATTTTATCCATGTGATTTTTTGCAATGTTTGCTTTGCAACATACAATTGGTGGGACCTTTTAATATAGGTTTGTGTTCATATGGACAGTTTCCTAAGCTCAAGCAAGGTGTTCTCCATGCAATGGTCTGTGCTTCTTTCTCCATGGGTAACTCTTATAAGCAATCAAAATGGTGGACACATGTATTTGCTAGTATGTCTTTGAGTATGATCCAAAAGAAGAGAGTAATTCAAGAACCAGTATGACTAATGTCTATATAAGTTTCACATATTCTTAAATTTCAAGGATAAATACACAGGCATAATGTAAGTAAACTTTTTAAAAGTGTGCACAAGATTTCTGGTGTTGTTGAGAAATATAAGTACTTTCCTAAGATAGATTTTCTCCATACAGTTCTTAAATCCAGGGTGTTTCCATGCTCAGAACAAAAAAAAAAGTAGAATGTATTTGGGGTAGGAAATAGATACTCTCTTATTTGCTTTTGAAAAGTCTCTTTTTCAATGGATAGTGAAGTGGCAGTTAGAGAGCAGTGTGCATTTCTCTAGATCCTAAAGGGGAACTCTTCAGAACCATTATAGCCCTCCACAACAGAATTTGACTTGACATCATAGTTTGTCTATGTTTGTACATCTAAGCTACCATTCAAGTCTCCTTCTGTAACAGAAATACATTATTGTCTTCAGCTTCATGAGCGGAAACTTAAGTACATTTAAAAAATGTCATTTCTGTAACCAATAATTGGTAACCATTTCTGTTAATATTTGCCTAAAATCCTCATGCATTACAGTAAGAATTTTTAGGAAAGTTTTAAAGTATCAGTTCAGAAGTGGTAAAAACTAGACAGGTGTTTTAGGTATGCCGTCCATTTTTACTGTCTATTCCTCATTTTCAGTGTCTTGAACTTGCTTTTGCAAACTCACTCTGACTTCCAGACATTTGGCTTACAAATATCAAATATTTGCTTTCAGATATCAACATGGCTGGAGAACCAAAACCATACAGACCAAAACCTGGCAACAAGCGGCCACTTTCAGCACTTTACAGGTGAGCGCAATTTCATCTTACCTCAGAACAATTCAATTTTTATTAGAAAAAATATGGTATCCTAAAATGCTTTTTTTCAAATATATCTATTAACTTTACTGTGTAGCCCATGAATGAGACAAAGGAACTTTTTTCCATTCACTCTTTAATGTTTGTACAAAATATAATCAAGTTCCTGTATACACTGAAAGGTTCTGAATGTGAGTAAAACAGCCAGCATTGTAGTGTCTCATATTATGTGTATCTATAGAGTCATTCCCGAGCAAAATGTTCTAAATTCCTGAGATAAAGACTCTCCATATGATACCTGACTTAAAAATTAATTTATGCCAGATAGGACTAAACCCAGCAAACAAAATTCTTGAATGCTACTTAGATGCAAGGATCACAATATGCACATAATGCTTCTCTTTTGGTTGGAAACAAACACCAGAGTTTCTGTTTACTGCAAAAAAATAAAATACTTGGGATATTTAAATGATAATACAGGCATTCAGAAGAACAGATAATACTAAATAAGTCAGACCAGAATTTTATTGCTTAGTGAAAATACTTTACATTACACTGAGGTCAAAAAGCTGGTCTTTGTCTTCTCAGTATTCACACCACGGATGTTACCTGCCAATGTAAGAACAATCCAAAGGAAGGGGCTGCTGTTTTAAACCATAAGAGGTATTACGCATAGAGTGCTACTATACTAAAAAGCTATTTGAAAAGATTTTTGACAGTGACACTCCTTTAAGATGAAGTAGCCGAATGCAGTCAGCTTGTACAGGTTTTGTTCCAGGGATGCTAAAGCCACTGGCATTCTGCTTGGTAAATGTTAAGTGCTGTAAGATCCTACCCAAGTGCTCACTCTGGTGTCCAAACTTCGAATTTAAATGTGTTGCATTAAAAATTTGTTTATTTATTTGTTTATGCACTGTAATTTAATTTTCCTTCCACATCTCATTTTTACTTTTTCTGACATGAAAGCGTAAGTGCAGGCGAAGTGAAGCAGACTTCAGGTCCATATAAAAGTGTAATGTTTAACAAAATTATAAAGAAGTACAATAAAATTATAAACCTGTGTTTCGCTAAACCTACTGATAAAAAGATCTATGTAATGATTTGTGAAGTGTTTATTAATGTCTCCAGTATTACAATCACTATTTTTTTGTTGTTCTTTTTTTTAACATGAGTACTATTTCAATTTTAATCCTTATATTTTATTTCTTGGCTATGGCCTCATTCTTGTGACATTTTATTTGCAGGATTTGGTGAAAGAACTAGCAATTTCAGAGCAACAGAACTACTTTCTCATAGATTTGTGTGTCAAGGGTGAGAACAAGCATCTAACAAGACTGGATTTCTGACTCAAGTGTTCAGGACATTCATAGTGTCTTTTCCCTATTCCCAGTTGCCTTTTTTCATGCAGCTTGTACAAACCTGAAGAAACCCCCACCTCTTTTTCCAAGTCAGTTAAGCTCAGTGAAGCATGCTAGATTGTTAGGGGAATTGACAGACAGACATGCACACACACATTTCTGCTCAATAAACCTCACTTCTCATAAAAGTGCTACAGAATTTATGCTCCAGACACGTGAAACGAGTCAGGGCTGATTTCTACTGTGGCTGAAATGCGGATAGACTGGCTTTGAGAACAGTTCAGCTGTGAAATCAGACATGCTTGAGCAGGACTTTTTCAAGCCTGGTCTGGTCTGAAAGCTTCAGATGGAAATTCAAGGGTGGGATCTCAGAATGAGACAGGAAGGAGCATTTTAGATCTGAGCCTGCATGCTATGCTGTTGGCGTGGGTTACGGATCCGTTGTAACGATGTGACCCCAATATGAGTATGATCGTTCACCTTTATTAGTCAGCAAAAACAAGGTTTATCTAGCAAAACTATTACAGCATCTGAATGGTTAAACCCCTAATCCATATATAGGCAAAACTACTGCAACTCGTGATTGGTGCAGAGCTGCATCTCGATGTGAAAACAGTACTGTGGCAGGAAACAACAACATGGCAGGAAGGAAGTGACAGTGTGGCAGGAAACGGTGACGTTCCCCCTGCTCCAGTGTCCCGAGCTCGTCGCTCTGCCTTCCCAGCAGGGTTCCGTGTCAGCCGCTCCCAAGGCTCACCTCCGGATCGGAACCTGGGTTGCTCAACGCTCCAAGCTATGTCCCCTCTCGTCCAGCCAGGAATCCACACTACGCAATAGTAATCTCTAGTTCTATCATATAGCTGCCCTTAACTGAAGTGATAGGACTATGATTTTTGGAGAAGACAACATCTGTTTTATCATTACTCTCAACTGCAAGCTGCTAAGTTCTGTAGATGTTACTGGTAGCCATAGTTTACTCTGTCCCTGTGTCAGTATTTCAAAAGATTTCTGAAGATGTTCTGTGATTTCTGGAATTTCTATGCACTTCACCCTCTGAGTTTCTGAACGGTTTCTGATAAATACTTGTTCTACAGACAAGACAAGGACAAGAGAGAGACCTATGGAAAGTTCTGGGAAAAGTTTAAAGAGAAAAAAGATCTTAGGTTGTGTCCTTTCACGAATCTAGTAAAGACTATTTATCTAGAAGATTATGAGAGGCTTTTCTAATAAACTAACAGAAGCCTTTATCTGATGGTAAAGGAGAACTTTCATGATCTCAGTATCTGTTAGCATAATAATGTGTGAGGAGATCAACGGCTTATAAAGCTTTTAACTTGTTGAGCACATTCAGTTATTTCAAAACATTGTACTGGGTCTGGCTGGCATGGAGTTAACTTTCTTCATAGGATCCCATGTGGTGCTGTGTTTTGGACTTATTACTAAAACATATCAATGTTTTAGCTGTCGCTGAAGTGTTTGCAAAGCCTCAAGGTTTTCTCTTTTTCTTGTGTTGCCTTCCCAATAATAGGCTGGGAGTGGGCAATACCTTGGGAAGGAATACAGCTGAGATATCTGACCCAAATTGGCCAAAGGGATATTCTATATCATATAACATAATGCTCATAAATAAAAATTGACGAGGTTTTTCCTTCCAAAGTAACTGTTGCTTGGAGAATGCCTGGGGTCCTTATGGAGGTGGAAAGTAATTGCCTTTGCATGACTTGGGTTTTTTCCCTCCTTCCTTCCCTTATTATACTGCATTTATCTCAACCCATAAGATTTTTTTCTCTTTTGCCCTTACTATTATCTCCTCAATCTCAATGGGGGACAACGGTTAGAGGAGAGAGACAGTGATTGTGCGTGTGCTTAGCTGCTGGCCAGAGTCAACCCACAACATGGAGTAAGTAAAGAGCCAAGTGGTTACTTTAGATTTGATTTTTAACTAAGAGAGGCATTGATTGAAAATTTAGTTATCACAAAATATTCACTGTGAAAAGGTAGGACTGAGAGCAGTAGAAATAGGATAATGGATTTCAGAAAGGACAGACTTCAATGAGCTCAGAGAGCTGGCAAGTAGAATATCTTGGAAAGAAATTTTAGGCACGAAAGGAGTGCAGAAAATCTTGCATCAACTGTGCTTACAGTAGAACAGAAAACTCTCCTGAAGGAGAAGAAATATAATAAAGGAATAATATGGCAGCAATAAGTTTCTTTAACATCCTGAAAAGTGAAAAGAATTTGTACAAAATGTAGAATCAAAACACTATGACTGGGAGAAAGTAGAAAAGAACAGCGGAGTCATCTAGTAGGGAGTCAGAAAGGCTGAGGCACATAATAATACAGAATCGCAGAATCACAGAATCATAGAATCATTAAGGTTGGAAAAGACCTCTAAGATTATAAAGTCCAACCATCAACCCAATACCATCATGCCTGATAAACCGTGTCCCGAAGTGCAATATCTACAAGTTTTTTGAACATCTCAGTGATGGTGACTCAACCACTTATCTGGGCAGCCTGTTCCAATGCCTGACCACTCTTTCAGTAAAGTAATTTTTCCTAATGTCCAATCTAAACCTCCCCTGACGCAACTTGAGGACATTAATCACATACTAAGGAAGTTGCAAAAAATGCAGCTTTATTAAGTATTATTCACAGGCAACAAATGGATTGCATAAGCGCAACATAGAGATTCTCATTAGCATAACTTCCTTTGCTTTTGTCTACCGCTGTTACTTATCAGGAAAGGAGAGCACACAGTAGATGACAGAGAAAAGGCTTCTTCTGCTTTAGCAAACCTCTTTTTGCTTTAGCTCACCCCTTAGCAAAAGAGGTGAATTGACCAGCTGTTTAAGAAAATCTGTTTTAACCAGAGAGTATGGAGTATAAGAATTGGCTAACCAGCATTTTAAGAAGTGAACTCAGTGTACATGGTATGATGAGATTCACCCTAGAGTGCTTAAAGGACTAGCTGACTCTGTGTGTGGACAATCAGTGATTTTTTTAAAAAACTTATGGAGGTCACATAAGGTAGAAAACCAGTGGGTATGGGCAGGCATTATACCTATTTTTAAGAAGAGGATGGTCCAGAAAATTATCAGGTCAGCCCAGCTTTGATTCCCAGAAATATACTAGAACAAATCATTACACAATCAATTCATCAATACCTAGAGGATAATAAAATGGTAAAAAAACCATCACAGAATTATCGGGAGCGAATTATGTTGAAGCAATATAATTTCCTTCTCTGACGAGACAGCCAATTTAGTGCATAAAGAGGAAACAGTAGATGTGCTACATGGTCATTTAAACAAGCTTTGACACTTGTCACATGGTGTTTTCATAAGCATGTTCAGCAAACCTGGCTAGAAGAAGCTATTTTAAGGTAGACATCCAATGGGCTGGAAAAACAGTGACTATCTACAACATAGCATTAAGGTTAACTATTGTTTGTACAGTCTCCTTTGTTACAGACTTTTAAAGAGTATTTTGGGATATTTGAGACACATTTAAGAACAGTCTTAAGGTAAGCAAGCAGGAGTGCTACACAGGGTTGCATGATTTCATTTATTGTGAAGTGCTTGAGGCTTCAAACTCATTCAAAGTACTTTGCGTCTCTGAAGAGAAACCTGC